CAGCTGTAATATTCTCATGAGTACTATTGAAAAGAGCAAAACATAGATATTCCAGTAATTCAATGACGTCTGAGCTTATTTGATTCTACTCCATTTAAAATGTTCTAATATATCACTAAGCTATTAAATTAGTACCCAGATAAACTTATTCAAGCAATGATGAAACTTTAACAAAAGTGGTCATTTTTAAATTTATACACATTTTGATGATAAGGAATATTGCTTGCCTCTTGTCGGAAATCTCAAAGCTTATCAAAAAGGATGTAGTTTAGTTAAGTTAATTGAAGAGATATAACTGTGAATTGCTTTCTTCTCAGATTGAGTACGTTTAAGAACTAGAGAACACTGGACAGCTATCTTTTTATAGGAAAAGCCTATTTAGCAGTGCATACCCAACATTTCACCCCGGATCAATTCCATAACCATCAAATATCACTACTTGCACTTCACCATTAAAGCACTATGTTGACACATGATAGTACACATTTTCAACGTCAATTAATTCATGATATATAACATGACTATCATCCAATCTGATGGGTGATAAATGTCTCACTTCCAAATTATCTGAACACCACCGGTCATAACTTTTCTCTAAAACTTCAGGAATATCTTAAATCAAGTCATGGATAAACTGACGACTAGTAAGTCTCCTACAGTATCCCAATGAAAATCAACCTGTAACGAATACATCCTACAATATAATTAATCCTCACTAATGAAAACAAATGTACAGTATATTAAACTGAATGAATGAATGAATTAGTCAATTAGTCAATAATTTATCCTCTTCTGTTTTAAATTAAATCAATAATTATTTTGAGATGTATCTTGGAGACACATTTTTTGTGAAATACCAAAAAAAAACAACTTTACAAGTGTACAATGATCAACATTTAATACTGATTAATAAACTAGAATAGTTATAATGTAAAATGTTAGTGATTTGCATAATTGTATTAAATTCTTATATTTAACGTTGATTAAAGTACAAATGAAAATGAAAATTTATGAAAGAAATCCGAAAATTAACATAACAGACTTAACATACTTCACTTGGTATTGTTTTACTTGAATACCATGTGAATTAAACTTCACCCCATTGCACAAGCAAGTGGCTATCAGAACTCAGTAGCTAAGTGAATAACGCGATGGCGTTTGAAGTGAACGGTACTGAGTTCGAGTCCCAGAGTGAACATCAACTCTGAGATGCAGATACATCCAGCTGACGAGTCCCAAACAGGACGAAACGCGCGTCCTGGATTCCACTGCTAGCCACTGTTTATCTTTGCTTATAAGATTTGACATACATTATATAAATATATATACATAACAATAAAACTACATTTATGTTGTTTGCTTGTATCTTCCTATTGTTATTTAGAACTGTAAACGATCAGTCATTTGTTGGCATATATGTACATCCTGTGTGGATCAACTTGATATTGCCTTAAGACACAAGCTATATATAAGCAAAAATGAATGGTGGCTAGCATTGGAATCCAGGATGCGAGTTCCGTCCTAGTCTGGACTCGTCAGCTGGATATACCTGCATCTCAGAGTTGATGTTCACTATGGGACTCCAAGCCAGTACTGTTTGCTTCAAACGCCATCGCGTTATCCATTTGACTACTAATTGCTGATAGCCACTTACTTGAGCAATGGGATTCACTTGGTGTTGTTTGCTTGTATCTTCCGATTGTTGTTTAGGACTGCACTTATAGTTAATATTTTTTCATAGAAAAGTTATATATATATATATATATATATATAACTGTATAATAGGAACATCGATGGTTAAAATTTACATGAAATGTTTTAACCATCATAGATACTGGACCATTTTATAATAAACTGTCACTCTGGTAACACTACAATGATCTAAGGTTATATTTTAGAAAATTAAGCAAACATCTATCGACAAAATATAAGCTTTAAAACTCTTTTCACAAATTTTCTTAATACATTAAACCTTGGTATATTTGTGATAATTATCAGAATTAGGTTTTTATAGAGATTGTAGTAACTTTAACGGTTGAATTAGTTGAAGTTAAACATTAACACCGTTGAATGCCGGATCAATGGTCTAGAGGTTATGTATTCGAGCGCGAGACCGAAGGTTTCGATTTCTGGTTCCGCATACGGGTTTGTTGATGCACGCTCCTGAGGAGTCACATACTAAGACGAAATAATCGTCCCGGGCTTCCAGGATTTCAACTCATTATTTGTGTTAGTTTGAAGAATTTAAAGAGGGTGGTTAACAAGATAAGCTTTTTTTCTGGTTTATAATTGATCTCATCAAAAATCCTAACCGTCAATCTATTAAACCACTTATTGATAAGAATTTAATAAGTTGGGAATAAAAGTAGGAAATATTAAGTGTTTTCTAATTACTTCACTCATGAAATATCCACTTAAATGTTAAATATTTGGATGTATTAAGTTATTTGTGTTTAAATAAACAAAATCGAGTATAAATATTATATAACCCATATATTGTTCAAATCATATTTAAAAGAATTGACCTACGATATACTTCTGATTAGTCGACATTTATATTTTTCATCGTATGAGTTTTTCCTTAAAGAAAAAGGAAGGCGGCCTGCTTGAGTATCTGGTCAGCCTGTTTCTACCCTTTAGATATTTTGTTTATTTTAATACATCATTATGGCTATTAGTCGCATAACCTATTCAGGGTTCATTTATGAAAAGTTTACAACATTTCTTTGTACAAGTTACACTCATTTGAGATATCGTTGTTACTGGAAATATTTAGTGAAAAGAATATACATTATTCAAATGTCGATTCCTGGACTATTAACTTCTAGCTGACGACCACTCAATATTTATCGTCAGGATCGACTAAGAAGTAAGAAACGGAAACTTGTTGAAATACTTTGTGCTAAGATTTCTATTTTATACCAAAAATATATTAGTGAATTAAGCTAATAATAATAATAACAATAATAATAATAATAATAATAATAATAATAATGAAATAAAAGAATGAAACCGAACTTCATTTCCTGGCAACATTTAATGTTAATGAGCACCTGAGCAAGTCATGTGTTTAGTTTGAACTAATAAAAATAACTAAATCAGTCGGTGACAATCTTAGTTAATCGATTAATTTAAAAGTACATAATTCACTTTTTTTTGGATATTGATATGAGTAAAATTAGGAATAAACTGTAGTGTATGTGTATCTGTGTGTAGGTATGACAGTGTAAACGAAATATGATCTGATAGATTTATTAACATGTAACAATTTAAGTTGGCTAGAAATGTAAACGTTATCTGACTAGTTAGCTAGCAATGACTAGACAACTTATACACAAAGCACCATTCAAGTGATACCTAATTGAATGAGACGTAAAACCGTGAAAAATAGAATTATTCTAAACCCCTTCCCTGTAATTTGCTATTATAATCATCATAATTCTAACTATAATTCATTAAGGTTTGTATTTCCCTATTGAAGAAATTAATGACACAGTAGATTAGGGAATAACACGTTGATGTTTGAAGCTAAATGTATTGAATTCGAATCATTGTGTAAACATCTACACTTAATAGAATGAAGGTAAGTGCAGTCAATTGATAAGTTCCAAGTGAAAGAATAAATTAGTCCTATGTTACCTATATTTCTAAAAAAATTATTACGATTTATACGAAAATTCGTCAAGATTAGAACGAATAGTTTGACAGAAATTGGGTGCCGAGTAAAGAGAAGTCATTATATGTGAAAATTATATTTGAAATAATCTCAGAGATTGAAATTTAAATAATTCCAACGTTTCGTCCAACTAACTTGTCTGGACTTCTTCAGGGTAATAATCGAAGTCAAAATCAATATTTCTTTGATGATTTTGATTATTACCCTGAAGAAGTCCAGACAAGTTAGTTGGAAGAAACGTTGGAATTATTACGATTGTTTTACAGAAATCAACACGTTCCAGATTACTATTTATATTACAGCTTAAATACATCTTCAATGTTATTGATATCATGAGTTTTGAAGTGTATTTCATGTTCTAAAGTACTAAAAATACTAAAACTTAACTGAAACGAATTCAAAGTTTAAAGTTATATATGTTATCTGTTGATTCCGATCAGTATGTTTCAATCTTGAGATTGTTAGACTCGACTTGAAGACAAAATAGTACTATAATCTGTCACTACTGTTATCGAAACTGGTCTCAAGATCATCACTATCAATAATGCATCATGAAGAATAGAACATTAATCAATGGATCACTGAATCTGATTTTATTATATTTTTAAGTTAACAACAAGAAAACTAATCAAAATGATAAATAATTAAAACAGTTTATTTATTCAAATCAAATTGAGAAGTATCAGAATGAGGTTTTGTGGGTATTGTAGCAATTTTTAATAGTTAAATTCATAAGTCGTTTAAAGCTAGACCACTATGGAAAACCTGAAAGCATCGAATGGTCGTTTCGTCCTCGTATGGGACTCCTCAGCAGTAATGATCCATTATCCCACATAAACTTTTAAAATAGAACTTCACTCACTATTGGTTGTTTTATAGTTAAATAATTATTAACTGAATAGAACTTCACTTATCATATTAATTAATCCATTTGAATAGCATCTTTCCAACTACATATAAAGTTAATTTATTATTGTCTGGGTTTATTGTATTAAGAGAATGCTCTATATATACCCAGTTAATGCATATTTTGAGAAAAACTCTACATTCTTGATATGAAGTTGATATGAATTACTGAAAAATTAAGTTATCATGATTGTCAAAGTGTGAATATTCACTTCTAGTTTACATCATCAATGTCTATGCCAATAGGTATGAGTGTTTTATGTACAAATGACATGGATTAGATCCATTAATAGGTTATTTTGAAATGAAGCACCCATAAATTAGGGTATATTAAATCTATATTTAACTAAATTATACCATATACTTATTACACAATCAAAATAAGATTAGACTAATGAACAAATTTTATTAAACTTACTTTTTTTTTCAGATACTTGTAACTATGACGTTGATCTTTCAACTTGATGAATATCGTAGTTGTTCGTGTTGTCACTAGAGTTTTTATAGAATTTCAAATTTAGTTTTTTTTTTCTTGTCCTGTATTCTGTTCACCACCCACAAATTACGTATGCACAAATTAATACTGTCCAAGCAATAGTAGTAACAGTATTGATAATAATAGTAGTAATAATAATAATAGTAATTTAATGTCAGTTATTATTTCCAAAACTGGTTGGTTCATAGGTCTCGTCACCAAGGTTACTCTATTGCTTTTATTTCCTTTCATTGGATTACATGTGAAATGGTCATACTTTAATATGATTGGTTGAAATGAGTGCGTATATGCTTATTTGAATATGAATTGTTTAATGAATAGAATTATATACGAACAGAGCAGATTTCTTTTTTTAATTACTAGGATTATGTTGTATTAACTGGGACTGTATTTGACAAAAGAGGATTCAAGTTATTTTCAGAAATACAAACTATTTCATTACACAAACATTTACAACAATAATGAATGTGTGAAAGTAAAGTTATCAAAACAATAGTGTTTTAACTTATTTTGACTGACTGGTTGAATGATTAAGGTTTTCAGAACTATAAATATATATGTACTAGAGTAATATGTTTCAAACAATCAGATCACACATATTTATATTCGATAAGTAAACACAAGAGTACAAGATAATAAGTACAACATAATATGTGATCAGAACCAATTTTAAAAGTATTTTCCTAATAGATCATATTATCAGAAGGGATTTTGTGGAGATTTTAGCAATTTCAATAGTTGAAATCATGAGTCAATTGAAGCTAGACCACTATGGAAAACCTGGGGGCACTGGAAGGCCGTTTCGTCCTAATAGGAAACTGCTCAGCAGTGCGCATCCACGATCCCACCTTCCGCGAGATTCGAACCCAGGACCTATCAGTCTCGCTCACGAGCGCTTGACCAATAGACGAAACGGCCGTTCAGTGCTTCCAAGTTTTCCATGGTGGTCTAGCTTCAGTTGACTCATGGTTTCAACTATTGAAGTCATATTGGTTTTGATGAATTTCTATCTATGAATACACTATCCAAATTTGTTGTCAAGAGAAAAATTACTAAAAAAAACTGGAACTGGTAAACATTTAGAAACAATGATTCAAAATGATATTTGATGAGCTGTAGAATCCAGGAATTGTTTTACGGACCATATATAACTAATCAGTTGGAATAACCGGTATCTACAAGTTGTTAATCGTGATGAGACTGAAATCACTGATGACCAAAGAGTGACAGATTAATTTTTTGCTAATTCACTAAGCATTTTTCAACACATTGGACTATCACAAACCTTAAATTCTGAAATATCTAGGGAATTCATCCGATCTTCATCGATAACTTGATCGCAGTTGGTGAAATAATGATACATGTTATTATAACGTGACCTGTGTGCCCTGTTAATGTATAACGTATAATACCGCCAATTAGAAAGCTGTGAATTATCAATCGAACCTATGACGTATAAAACCCGTGCGAACAGTCTAGACTCCTTATAGTTCCTGCTTCCTGCTGCCTACACTAGCCAGTTAAGTCCAGAACACCAATATCAGCCTCTGCAACATGAATAATTTATTTCAAACATACTGGGTTTATATACCGACCAGACAGACCACATCATACCATAAAATAGGAAACAACATTTGTAAAAGATCTAGTCAAAAGTGGCTGTGAATGGAGGAGATAGTAATTGATGGACTGGGCATAACTCAAGAATGGTCAAAATAAAGCTTATGATAGTATGAACACGAATATACATAGCTTAGCTACTTAATAATTATACGATAAAAATGTACGCATATTATTGGTCCATAAATGGATTCCAAAAGTTACCATTCATTATGCTTATCGAGACATAACATATCTGAACACAGCTTTCAAAATAATGCATTGTTATTATTATCTGCAATAAAATGAAGGCCTCTAATAAAATATGAAAGCCCATGATAGTAGTGTATTAGTTGATCATCAATATAAACTTAGAATAGTTTTAGTCATTAACCGCATAATAAATATTGTGATATCATTTGTGTGAGTCAGTTATGCGATTATGACTAATTAACTTATGATATTTTACATTAGAATGTCACGAATCACATAGTGATTTCCACTTCCATTATGAATGACATGTTAGCAACAAATGGGGTAATAAAGGAAAATATAAGCCTTGAATATTCATTCTTTTTTTACTTCACTTTACTTTCGATGAATATTTATTTTAGTGAGAAAATTCTTTCATTGTGTTTCATACAAGCACTAACTGCAAGTTCCTTTAAAACACTTATTACTGCAAACAATTAAATGACAGTACATTTTATAAAAATCTTCTCTAGAATTACTTTAAAAGGCCTAAAGACTAGTCACAGAGCTATTTCTTACTTTACAATTTTCTAAAAGATTTCTAAAAACTCCTACAGAAGCCTTTTCTAGGGTTACTGTCGGTTCCGAGCCTGTGAAAAGGAGGAGGGTTGGATATGGTGTTATCAGTTTTATTCCGTAAAAAAGAACCTTGCTAAAAAGTCGCTAACCAGGAACAACCATTTTGACTATTTAAACTCTGGGTATTTTACAAAGAAGATTTATTGTTCCTCAACGTGAAAGCTGACATTCTCCGAACATTTATTAGTAATTGTAATGTATACGATCTTCATCTTTTCAATAGGGTTTTAAAATATTCAAAATTGACTGATTACTAGGTTGTGATTAATGCCATATGTGTCAGGTCTTTCTTAGTGCAGATTGAATTCTGTCGATCACGTTTCAATTTGAACGCTAGTCTATTTACTACAGGAAGTCAGACGTGGTCGAGATAGTTCATTGGTAACGTCTCTGAATGTAAAGTTGGGTGAAATGGGATCAGATTCACCACGGAACATCAGTTCTCTCAAGATTACAGGTACACCATATTGATCAACGCCAACTAGGGAGAAACCAAGGTTCAGAGATATTTGTCGACTGTCTATAACCACCACCTATTGAAGTATTCGATAAAAAGTGCTATGGAACTAGAGTTAACAAATATTTATTAGTTAGCTCACGAATAAAAAATTCTAACATACGAAGATAATCTATGCTTCATACTGATTACTATTGATAAAACAACACTAGGGTGCATACTGTAGTTGCATTTCTTTGCACATAGTAATCAATAATACAACTTGATCAATATACAGTGGTCAAACTCAAGAGCAAGTCTAAACGATTAGATCAAAACAATTTATCATTCTCATTCAATGTAATATTAGTCACATCACCCTACTATGCACTTTTGCTTTGTACAATCTCTGTATTTTATGCTAACTGATATTTGGTAAAGGAAATAGAGTGAATGTCGTATTTGGATAAACATCAAACAAGCACATATTCATCGTATATTTGATTATGTAATCTTAAGATGAGACGTAATTTATATATATACGCTATTAAGCAAAGAAATGATCAAATTATTGATGAGTCTAAGTGTTTAGATTGGTAGACTGGATATTTGAAATAGATTTGCAGTTATTTACACTAATAAGATAGAGCTATAAGTAATCATAATTCTATTACTGATCATAGTGAGCATCATCAAAGTTTCTGATGTTATTCAGATTAAAAGTTGCTGATAAGATAAGCTGATTTCTAGGTCTAGTTAACTCTTATCTTTTTAACAGTTACTCATGCGCTAGATGATAATAACAAATTAGATGAATGATGGCTGCACATGTACAATATGCGTCTCAACCAGTACATTGTACGGTCAGTAATCATTATACATGTTTCATGCTTTCCAGTCAATGATTCATGGTTCCAATGGTTGTTGATAAAGTAAATTTACGAAAATCGCTTACGTAAAATATGAAACAATGAGACTGTTGAAAAGCCTCACGTTCGAGGACTTTCGTAGAATACTTTAAACGACAACAGATCAATGTATATATATATATATATATATATATATATATATATATATATATATATATATATATATATATATATATATATATATATATATATAATTGCTGCGTCAAGATAAACTGAGTTGAGTGTTGTACGATGTCTTCAGAATAAATATGAATAGTCACTCATTGTATTTATTATGGCATTTAATCTCCTTTAAGTTCTTAAGAATGGAGTGTTATGTCTAAAACACATATAATTATACTAACTATTTCACACTGGTCAATGTTATGTTGTCTTGTCCAGGACTTCTTAACTATCGACACTAATCACTGAATATACCAGACTGTTATTATTATTACGTAACGTTTGTTCTAATTTCGTTTGCTGGCAAAAGGTGAACTAACTAAAAATGCTCTCACAAGTGCATTTGTCCGAATTAAAGGAAGTTTCTCCGGTAAATAGTCGTTTACTTTGATATTTCATAAATTAGAATCCATTAAAATTAGTTGAAGTATTTCAACTAATGCCGTTTTCTTTCCTAGCTTCATTTGTTTATTATTGTCTTCAACTTTGTAAACAATCATTTGAACAGCTTAGTGATTACATTTTTCTAACATAACTGATGGGCCATGAAAATTTATAATTACATTACCCAAAGACTAGTTAGAACAAATCACTAATAATGTTCGATCATTATTATGGATCACTTACGTGAGATGATGTTATACCATAGCATTCAATAATTTAAAACTTAAGAGTATGTTATTTAAAAGTTTTGTTACAGAAATAACTAACCTATTTATAGCTGGCTGACTGTTTTTGTTATCGGTAATACAACTCTGATGATGATGATAATAATAATAATAATAATATTAATGAGTGAAATTTATAATTTTCAGTTTGAGGTTGGAGAGACTGCTGAGTTCCACTGAAATCATGAACCAATCAGTGCTGTGGAGCCCGATACTAAGATGAAATGATTATTCAACGCTTCCAGGTTTTCAATGATGGTTTAACATTGGTCGGTTCATGATTTCAATGAAATTAATAAACCGAATGAAATTACGATTCCTTAAAAATACTAGATAACAATATTTGATAAATAACTCTCATTATAACTAAGGATTATAACTGATCGTATAAATGGATGGGATCAGGATGATCATATTATGATTGCACAAAAAATGGAGTAACTAATGTCAAATCAGAGATGGATGTAGATCGGAAGACAATAGAATTGGTTAACAAAACATGAGACCCGAACTCAGTACAAATCAATTCGAACAATAATATATTATCCACTTGCATCTATAAAGAATATCATGACTTCTAATTAAATTACATTTGTGTCAATTAAGACAGATAGAAATTTAATCCTGAATATCACAACAACAGCAACAAAAAAATGTAAACGTATGCGAAAACTGAACGAGTTCATACATATTTTCTTACGAATGATCCCTAGTTCATATTTAATAAGAAATGAATTGTACTAGTCAATTTTTGTAAGCAGTGATGGATAGTGGCTAGCAGTGGAATCCAAGACGC